ATTTTGGGGTTGGTGACCCTCCAGACCCAATTTTTAGCACCTCACCTCTCACCACCCCCCAAACCTCTCCTTTACCTCCCGCTTCTCCCGCAGCTCCCCTCGCCGACTGCCGAAAAATCACCAAAAAATCGCTGGAAAATCACCAAAAAATCGCTGAAAAATTACCAAAAAATCGCTGAAAAATTACCGAAAAATCGCAGGAAAATCACCAAAAAATCACTGGAAAATCGCTGAAAAATCACTGGAAAATCGCTGGAAAATCACCAAAAAATCGCTGAAAAATCACCAAAAAATCGCTGAAAAATTGCTGAAAAATCTCTGAAAAATCACCAAAAAATCACTGGAAAATTGCTGAAAAATCTCTGAAAAATCACCAAAAAATTGCTGAAAAATCTCTGAAAAGTCGCTGGAAAATCGCTGAAAAATCACCAAAAAATCACTGGAAAATCGCTGAAAAATCTCCAAAAAATCACCAAAAAATCGCTGGAAAATTACCGAAAAATCACTGGAAAATCGCTGAAAAATCACCGAAAAATCACTGGAAAATTACCGAAAAATTGCGGAAAAATCTCTGAAAAATCGCAGGAAAATCGCTGAAAAATTACCAAAAAATCACTGAAAAATTGCCGAAAAATCGCAGAAAAATCTCCGAAAAATCACCAAAAAATTGCTGAAAAATCTCTGGAAAATTGCTGAAAAATCGCGGAAAAGTCTCCGAAAAATCACCAAAAAATCACTGAAAAATCATCGAAAAATAGCCAAAAATCTCTGAAAAATCTCGGAAAAATCATCGGAAAAATCGCCAAAAATCTCAAAAAAATCGCCAAAAAATCTCCAAAAAATTACTGAAAAATCGCTGAAAAATCTCTGAAAAATTGCTGAAAAATCGTGGAAAAATCTCCGAAAAATCACCAAAAAATCACTGAAAAATCATTGAAAAATCACCAAAAATCTCTGAAAAATCATCGAAAAAATCGCCAACAAATCTCCAAAAAATTACTGAAAAATCTCCGAAAAATTGCTGAAAAATCACCAAAAAATTGCCGAAAAATCATTGAAAAATCGCTAAATATCACCAAAAAATCAACAAAAAATCTCTGAAAAATCTCCAAAAAATCACTGAAAAATTGTCGGAAAGTAGCCAAAAATCCCCGAAAAATCATCAAAAAATCACCAAAAAATCGTCGAAAAAAAGCCAAAAATCCCTGAAAAATCATCAAAAAATCACCGAAAAATCTCTGAAAAATCGAAGAAAAATCTCTGAAAAATCGCAGAAAAATAATCAAAAAGTCGTTGAAAAATCACCGAAAAATTCTCGAAAAATAGCCAAAAATCCCCAAAAAATCATCAAAAAATCACCGAAAAATCTCTGAAAAATCGCAGAAAAATCTCCGAAAAATTGCTGCAAAATCACCAAAAAATCGCTGAAAAATCACTGAAACATTGTCGAAAAATAGCCAAAAATTCCTGAAAAATCATCAAGAAATCACCGAAAAATCTCTGAAAAATCGCAGAAAAATCTCTGAAAAATCGCAGAAAAATAACCAAAAAATCGCTGAAAACTCACCGAAAAATTGTCGAAAAATAGCCAAAAATCACCGAAAAATCACTAAAAAATCCCCCAAAAATCGCTGAAAAATCACCGAAAAATTACCGAAAAATCGCGATAAATCACTGAAAAATCACCGAAAAATCTCTGAAAAATCGCAGAAAAATAACCCAAAAATCACCAAAAACTTACCGAAAAATCGTGAAAAATCACTAAAAAATCTCGCAAAAATTACAGATAAATCACCGACAAATCCGCTTTCCCCCGCCGGTGCCGCGCCCGCCGCCGCCATGGCGCCGGCGCGCGGCCGCGGTGGCAGGATCCCCCCGTGCGTCCCCAAGCGCCGCTTCCCGCCCGGCTACTCCGACTCGCTGCTCTTCCTGTGCGCGCGCCGCCTGGTGGCCCGGCCACCGCTGCCGCCGCCGCCCGCCCACCTCTACCCCGTCCTCTTCCAAGCCGCCTTCTTGGACGGGCGGCCGCGGGTCCTCGGCGACCTGGTGAGCTCCTGGCCCTTCCCGGCGCTGCACCTGCGGCGCCTGCTGGGCCGCCAGGAGCTGCTGAGGGACCAGCCCTGCAAGCTCTGCCTCCAGGCCCTCGTCCTGGCCCTGGTGGCCACGCTGCGCCGGCAGCTGGAGGAGCCCGGCCGCCG